GCTGAGACAACTGTCAGTCAAAGTAGCAATGGCCTGGGCTCCCCAGAGTACTGGACAGGAAGAGAAATTGTATTTACTTGTTAGCAGGAAGAAATTGGGCTAAACTTGCTCCAGAGAACCTGTGGCTTCTTTGCTAACGTCTCTTTGTTGTAGGCATTTGATGAAGCAATTGCTGAATTGGACACACTGAATGAGGAGTCATACAAAGACAGCACGCTGATCATGCAGTTGCTTAGGGACAATCTCACTGTGAGTACTGCTGGCTTCAGTGACTGCTTTGGACGGTTGACGGTCTCTATTCACCCACCTCATGATTCACTATTGCCTAAGACTCAAGAGGGGTTTGGTATCTTCTGAGTATAGTTAACATTGTTAAACTGGTTAAATTCACATGTTTAAATGAGTGCCAGTTTTGACCTTTATGTGGCCATCACTGGTGGCAATTTTAAACCGCCCGGGGAGACCGGGGTCTGGGGACCCGCAAGCGGCCCTGAGTGAGTTTTAGTAGACATGCTCTGACCACAGCTCTGTTTTTCTCTTGCAGCTGTGGACGTCGGAAAACCAGGGAGATGAAGGAGATGCTGGGGAGGGAGAGAACTAATGTCTTTCGTGCTTCGTGATCTGTTCAGTGTCACTCTGTACCCTCCACATATATCCCTTTGTGCGATAAAAAAAGAAAAAGGAAAAAAAAGAATCGTACATCGACTTTTCGATTTTTCACAACCTCAGCCTAGCAAAAATGGTCCATGGGATAATTAGCTGGCGTTTGTATCTCAAACTCAGATTGGTCACATAAATGCCACGGCATTCTGAAGTTTCAATTTTTAACATTGACAGGATTACTGTGTGTTTAATTTGTTTTGAAACTGAACACTGTGATTATGGGGTTTTGTAACTAAGCAGAACTCTTACTGGTAGAAAAAAACTAGACCCAAATTCTCTGTAACTTAAGGGAAGTTTCATCTGGTACCAGAACAGTCACTGAAACACAGCCCCATTATAAAGTCGTGCAGAAAGTTACAGAGCTTGTGTCGTGATGCTGGGACTCAGAGTGAGACACCTGTCACTTACATTTGAGTTTGATGGCAGTTCACAGCAACTCTGCCTGCTGTTCAGGGCTCCTAAGACACTTGACCGGTTTGGGCTGCTGCCACTCAAAAGCTTATGGCCACAGATGTCCAGTGTCTTCCTCTGAGGAAGCTCAAAGCTCAGAATTGAAATTGATCGTGGCAGATAACTGGGTTGGAACACCATGAGAAGGTCCAGTGCTCAGAGTAACACACGTGGCTGAAACCCCTGTCCCATAACAGTGCCACTGATGTGTGGCCTGTGCTCCAGTTGTGGAATCTGTTTTCCCTGTAACCATGAGCTAAAGAATGAATGCCGTGTATCTGATGAATGGTCTTGTCTGTCTCCTGGGTGATATCTTTAAGAATACGTTCTGCAGAGATTGCCTTTCTGATGAGTAGTGCTAGGTCTTTGGGTTCTTCGTAGCTCCGGCTTCTAAATTTTCAAATCTAAACATTCTTTCCCACTTCCTGCCTGTTGACTTTCTTTTTCTCTTCCCTCTTTAAATTTCTGTCCTGCTTCTTTACCTGTTTTTCTTTTTGAAGTCTACTTTTGTTTACGGTTTAATTCTGTATGGGCAGGGATAGGGGGCCTGGAGGGGGTAAGACATGAAATTGGAGAGTGCTTCGGTGAGTGGGCCTTGTTTCAGAGTCTCGAAGAGCTTCCAGCACCATAGCTCTGTCTTCCTGTTCTCGGCACAGCTGCTGCTCGTAAGTCACACCAAGATCTGAATCAAAAAAAAAAAAGGATTTTTAAGTGTCCGTGACTTCTTCCTGTATTACAGCCAGCCCTGATAATGCTTGTTAGTGCCTGTCACCAGATCTCCCAACTCATCCAGCCAGGTTCACAGACATGTTTAAACAAGACCCTGTAATGCGGGGAAGTTGCATGAACACTTGCAGTGGGGAGAATCCAGAGTACCCGGCCTACCAGTCTCACAGTATCCCCCCCCTTCTGTCTGTAACATTCCACACAGCTGTAGTATCCATCTGTTTGTCCATCTGCTGAAATGAGAAAAGAAACATTCATGCACTGATGAAAACAAACCAAAAAAGAAAAAAAAAAATCCCTCCTTTCTAGCCGAATAAAAATGTGCAGTTAAATACCTGGCGCTTGAAAATGCAGTAGTGAATGTGGAACGAGCCTGTCTGTATATCTGGTAGCTCTTTCTTGCTTCGTTTTTTCTTACCAGTATTCTGCCTCACGTTTGCTTCTGTGATGGTTATATTGCCTAGCAAGCACACCTGTGGTTGTGAAAATAGTATAGAGCAAAAAAGAAAAATCCCTGGTTATTGATGTACTAGATTTGTGTATGTCTTTTAAACAGTTCTAGTTTCCACCTTACACGGAACAATTGGGAAACGTGTAAAAATTCAAAAGTGAAATAAAAAGTTTTATCAGTTAGTTGCCTGTGAATTGATGTGTGGAACTGTCTATCACTACCAGAATTAGCTAACTTTCTGGTCACCCTTATTTTGGGCTCCTTATAAAGTAGGCAACAGCTATGTCAAGGTGTTGACATACACCTTTGCAACCAGAGGTCAAGGTGTTGGGGGAAAGAAATTACCGTTCATTAACACAGGACCTGTCCACCTTCCCAAAACTGCCCCAGTGTTAGGTCTTCAGGGACTTCGAAGATTGGTGTAGCCAGTGGGTTTTGCATTATGTTCAAGTCTCCACTCTTAATATTTTTTTTAAAATATTCTGTTCTTATTTCTGACTTTTAGGGAGGGGAGGAGAGAAACATTAGTTCGTTGTTCCATGTATTTGTTCGAGTCTTGTGTGTGCCCGGATGGATTGAAGCTGCAGCCGTGGCTTTATCTGGCAACGTTCTGACCCACTGAGCTACCCAGTTAGCTCTGCTATTAAACCCTGAGATGTACCAAGACCATGAGAGGTGCTTGCTTAAGGCCTGGTCGTCTCCAAAGGAATACCAGCCTCTCTGTCATCTTCCCCAACTCTGGTTATGGTAGCTGGCAGCACTGGGTTTCCTCATGGGATTTGCCCCTTTCTAAAAATGTCTACAAGGAGAGAAGAAATAGGATAGAGGGATATTTTTTTAGTCCAAGATTAGAATTCGTGCGTTCTTGGCACTGTAGGCTGGGCAGCCAGACCACCTCCTGTCCTGTCGAAGCCACACCCAGTGAGGGTCAGTGGGAACCTACCCTCTGTGTTGCAGCAGGGAAATCAGGGGAGTACTGGCCCGCAATGGGGTGGAATTCTTCGGAAATGAACCCACGCTACAGGTCGAAGCTGCACAGTCAGATTGACGGGGATCTTCCCGCGCAGCTTGGGACCACCACCCTCATGTTCCATTAGGTCCCCAACTTTCCATAGAGGCCTTGGTGAACCTGCCTGGTGGCATGCACCTGCATGGAATGGAATCTGTGAGAAAGGTGGGCAGGGAATATCCTAGGCATACGAGCCAGCGTCAGGGAAGGCTTTAGTGGTTGGACTCCCACAGGAAGGGAAGGACCCAGAAAGGCAATGACGTTGAGAATTAGAACCCTGGTCTCAGCCCCTCCTAGAAGGCTCAGCTTCACCGCATCTGCGCAGCCGCACCCCAGGTCGAGGGAGAAGGGCTCTCCCCGCCTCTGGAGGCGGAGCCAGAGATGCGACCCACCTGAGGCTTCTAGAACGTTAAGGGGGTTCCAAGTGGGGAGCTAAGAAGGGAGGGGCCCGGAGGAATACCGATTGGCGCACGGGGCGCTGGGGATGGTAAAGGGAGGGGTGGCCAGCTCGGGGGGCGAGAGTCGCACTCCCTGTGCTCCAGCCGGCGCCGAGCCGAGGCTCCTGCCCGAGTGACGTACGCGCGTCGAGCGCCGGACCGCGCCGCCGGCCCTGAACGCCAGCCCCGCGGGTCTCCGGCTCGCCTCCCTCTACGTGGGCGACCTGCATCCAGTCGTGATCGAGGCCATGCTCTAGAAGAAGTTCTCGCCCGCGGGTCCCATCCTGTCCGTCCGCGTGTGTCGCGAGGTAACCACCCGCCGCTTGCTGGGCTATGCCAACGTCAACTTCCAGCAGCCGGCCGACGGCGAGCCCCGGGGGAGGGGGACACCGACAGACAGACGGCATCTCGGCCATCCGCTCTTTCATCTCTTCTGCAGCCAGGTAAATTGAGACCAGAGAGGCCCCTGAAGCAGGAACTAGCAGTTAGTGTGCGCCTACTGTTTGTTTTACTGGTGTTCCATTTTGCAGAAGGGAAGTATTAAGGCTGCTCAAAAACAGGCAAGGATTTGGGGACCAGGCCGACCTGGGACTTGAAAGCCAGCAGCTGTGTGACTTTGAGCAAATTATTTAACCGTTCTGAGCTTCTGTTGCCTGTCTGAAGAAGGGGATGGGACCTGCCTGATAGAGTGGCTGGGAAGAGGAGAAAATTCAAAGCACCTGGTGAGGAAAACGTGGAAGGCGACACAGGTGATGAGTAGGGAAGCCAGGGGAGCTGGGCTTGGGGCTCCACCTCTGCCAGCAGCGTAGCAGGAGGCCTGCACCAAGTGCCTCCCCCTTGGCAAGCCCTGAAAAGCCACCTCCACCTCCACTGTAGGCTTGGCAACCTGTTTCTCAGAGCTGATAGAATTGCCCAGAGCTTTCCAGATGGGTATGTCTACACTTCTGTTGAGAGTGTAAAGATTAAGAGCACCGGTTTTGCTCCAGCTCTACCACTAGGGTGCGAGCTTGAGCAAGAGTTCACACTCCGTACTTCATCTGTGAAATGGGGCTAACTTATTCCCCAGCAGCATGGAAGGAGAGCTGTGTTTATGAAGTATCTCTAGTACATTCGAAGGCCTCGATAAGTGGTAACTTAAGAAAAATAATAGTAACTGTATCGTTCAGGTGGAAGTCTCCAGAAACAACCAAAAGAGGCTTGCCTGGCCAACTCCAAAAGAGAGCGCCCTCAACCGTCTCCTGGGTGGATGGGGAGGCTCCCTGAACTGGGGGTTTGCTGGCGTGGTTCAGCCTGTTTCCCAGTGAGTAAGGGGTGACCGAGCTGGGTTCCAGGGGGACTTCCCCTTTGCTCTGCTTCCCCCACCCACTGCCCTTTCCATCTTCCTCCAAGCCTTGCACCACCTGACCTTTTGGCCAGACTTCCTAGATGGCGAAGCTGAGCTCCATAGAGGAGGGGTTTTGTCCCTGGGTGTTCATTGGCAGGGCTAGATGGAAAAACCAGACTTCTTGAAGTGTGCTCCACTGAGTTCTGCACAGTTCTCTCTGCCTGTGAAAGTGGAGGAATCCTTGAAGGAGAGGACAGCATATTACCTGGGAAGGGGACAGGCTGTCATAGTGGCAGGAGGATAGGCATAGGCTGCTGTTTTCAGATGCCTTGCCATTTGCCAGCCACCTGTTTTGTGCTGGGTGCAAAGGACAAGGCACCTTGCAGACCTCATTTAACTTTCAGCTGCCCAACAGCATGGAGGTAGATGGTATTATCTCCCTTCGTTGAGTTTGAGAGGATGGTTCATATTACCATCATCCCTATTTTACAGGGAGAAACCAGCTGAGAGAGGTGATGTTCTTCTCCCCTGGAACCCTACTACTTGGGATCGAACCTCAACTGCGCTGCTCAGCGCCCCTGAGCTTTAATTTCCTTGGAGTGCACCACCATGTGTCGTAGAGTCCTCCTTTACATCTTTATTTACTGCATGTGCCTTGGCAACCACAGTAGACCTGGCTCTGCCACCGATCTTTCCCCTTTCTGAGCCTCAGTTTTCCCTTCTATAAAGTGGGGGTAGGAATCTGTGCTCACATGGCCACAGTGAGGAGTTTGAACGAGATCCTAAAAAATGGGAGGAATGTCATACCCTTTCATTTTTATCCTTCCTGGGTGTCCAAGCTCTTTCTCCAGTGAGACCCAGAGACTGGCTTTCTTTTTTTCTTTCGGAGGGGGTTCCCAGTTAAGCACCTGAGGACCCAGGGAAAGAAAGTCCCCTTATCTTGCTCCTTTCTCTCCTCCTGTTCAGCAGAGCGGGCACTGGACACAATGAACTTTGAGGTGATCAAAGGCCAGCCCATCCGCATCATGTGGTCCCAGCGAGACCCAGGGCTTCGCAGGTCAGGTGTGGGTAACATCTTCATCAAGAACCTGGAGGAGTCCATTGACAACAAGGCCCTATACGACACCTCCTCCACCTTTGGGAACATCCTCTCTTGCAAGGTGGGTGTGCCTCTTGAGGGGGGATGTCTGCGTCAGGTACCTGTGTGGTAGAGGGGCTCCAATCAGCACCTCCCTTGACAGTATGTGAGGTCTTTTCACTTAAGCACCAGCTTCAGGAAGTCCCTGAATGGTAGGGGCCCTTCCAGTTCCATCTTCATAGGCCTGTCAGAGGCCACCTGTGTTTCGGTCCACTCTGGCTGTGTAACCACCCGAAAGCTAAGTTGCTGTCAACAACCGTTATTTAGCTTATAATTCTGCAGTTGGCGATTTGGGCGGAGTTCGGCTGGGCAGGTCTTTGGCCTTGGCTGAGAGCTCCTTCCTGTGCCCATGGAGAGCGGATTGGCTCTGCTTTGAGGCTGTGGCTGACTGTCGATTGGAGCACCTCAGCTTTCCTCCCTGTGGTCTTTCCTCCCCCAGCAGCCTAGCCCCGGCTGTCCCCACGGCAATGCTGGGGGCTCAGAGGCAGAGTGGAAGCTCACCGGGCCTCTTGAGATCTAAGCTTGGAACTGGCCCACCATCACTTCCGCTGCATTTTATTTGCTGAAGCAAGTCACAACACCAGGCTCAGTTCAGAGCGAGAGGACCGCAGAAACTATAGGACAAAAAGTGTGGTTACAACAAGGCCATTAATGGAGGCCACCATGGCAATCGATGGCCCGGCCTCGTTTTTATGATTTATAAGAGAATGGAAGTTTTATATGAGTAGTGAACCTGTTCTTATTCACCTTTGTGTCCCAGGACCTGGAATAAGATGTGACACATAGTAGATGCTCAATGGGAAATATTTATTCCCATTTCTCCCAATCAGGCAGCTGGGGCTTAGAGGTTAAGAAATGGCTGAAAGCGTTTTTATGGCAACTATTAGCAAGATAAGTATACCATGTGCTTAGCAAGTGCTTGTCCCAAAGCAGGAACCAAGTCAACACGACTGAATCTGAATGGAAAAGCTGGCACTTGAGCTGAAAGTGCAGGAACTCTGTTTGGGACTGGAAAGTGGAGGAGGGTGTGGTGGGCTTGAATTTGGAAGCAAGGCTAGTCCAGGGCCTGCAGTGCCAACCTGATCTAGTTCCGTGGAGGGTAGGAGCTACTGGGGGCGAGGTCCCAAGGGGACACAGTCATAGTTACATTTTAGAAGAAGCATACCAGTGGTCAGCATGGAAGCTGAGCTGGGAGGCAGGGTGGTTGCCTGGGCAGAAAACGCCACTTAGCTGAGCTGGGGCACTGGCTGCAGAGGTGGGTGGAGCCAGGGACACTTGAAATGGGCCTTCGTGGTTTCAGTGCAAGTTCAACCAGAGGGATGGGAACTACGTGACATGAAGACTTGTCCTGGTCGGTCTCAAGCTTTGTCCTTCTAATTTGAGCCAGGAGGCTTGCAAAATGGGGGTAGAACGTTCTCAGGTCTTTTACAAAATTAAAACAGGTTTGTTGTTGAAACAGTACATAAAATGGTAGACTTTAAACAGTGTAGAAAGGAACGAAGTGAAAAGAAGTTCCATCCTTTTCAATCCTAGTTCCCAGAAATAGTCATTGTGAACAGTTTTGTGTGTTTCTGTTTAGAATTTTCCCATGTGTAGACTCCCACTTTATTAACCCAGCAGGGCTTGATTTTTTTCCCCCTGAATGATATACCCTCCAAATCAGTCCGCGTCAGCCACATAACCTACAGGTTCCCTTCAGCCGCACATGTGGTCAGCCAGTATGATATACTGTAACTTAGTTCACCCTCTCCTTGATGGATACTCAGATTAGCTCTAATTTGCTTTTAGGAACAAGGATGTAGGGCCCTGGGCGGCTAGCCCAGTTGGTTAGAGCATCATCCTGATACACCAAGGTTGTGGGTTCGATCTCTGATCAGGGCAAGTAGGAGAAGCAACCAGCAAATGCATGAGTGAATGGAATGACAAATCAATGTTTCTTTCTCTGTGTGCTTCTTTCTTTTCTTCTCGCTCTAAAATAAATGAATAAATACAATTTAAAATATTTTTTAAAAGCAAGAAAAAACAAGGATGCAAGAATAGAGGTTTGAATCTGATCCTCTTGCCCATCACCTTAGCAAGATAATTAAAAGCGTGTCTGTGGTATAAAAGACCTGTGTTCAATTTGAGGACTCTGTTACTCCTTACTGTGTGATCTTAAGCAAGTGGATCAACCTCTCTGAGCTTTCGTTTCCCACGAAAATGGAGCTGTTGTGCACAAAGCAAGCCCTGTGTCATGAGCTGTTACCGTCCTGCTGTTCTTTTCTGCCTGAACCCTCGGTTGGGTGCTCTCCTTGTCCCTTTCCTGTATGGCCCAGGTGATGTGTGATGATCACAGCTTCCAAGGTTTTGGCTTTGTCCATTTCGAGACCTATGAGGCCATGCAGAAGGCCATCAGCAGCATAAATGGGATGCTGCTGAATGACTGTAAAGTGTGAGTGGCGGGCAGGGGGGCGGGCTAAAGCTGGAGGGACGGAATCGTGGCACCACCAGCTGGGGACCCACTGGACCCGCCACCATCTCATGGGCACCAGTCACCGAGCAGCCACCTGTGTTCTTCCTGGCAGTGTGACCTCAGGAGAGTGGCTCAGCCTCGCAGGGCCTCCCTTTCCTCAAAGAAAGGTGGGGCTGCTGATACACTCAGAGGCTTGTTCCGTTCAGTAGGTGAAGAGATGGTCCTGAAGTCCAGCAGGAACAGCTGACGGCCAGATCTTCGGTGGACTCAGCCTTCTCAGCGTGCTTGTGAATGTTTTCCTCAAGCCCTTTTGTGTCATTTCATGGGGGTTTCAGACGGTAGGCATGTGCTTAGCCGGCCTTTGTCACCCATTTCCGTTTGGCATCTTTCCCACTTCACAGATGGGAAAATTGGGATGCCCCTGCTGAAGAGAAGGTGCTCTGGCGGTGCCCCTCCCCCAGCTTTGCTTCAGCCCGTGTGGTGGCTAAGCCCCTGTCCCGTGCTGCGCAGGCTTTGAGCTGGGAGCTGCCGTCAGAGTCTTCTGTCCAGGGTTTCCCCGGGGAGGCTCCGGTCAATGAAACTGAACCACGGCGGGCTTTCCCCAGAAGGACGTTGTCTTTGGCAGCCACAGTCTGTCCAAGGTTACCTGTGCCACTCAGATTTTTCCAGTTTTTAGTGCTAGCTACAATTTGTTTGTGCTACATGTGCTATAGAAACCACGAGATTTTCTTATGCTTTTTTTCTTAATCTATGACACTGCCTTTGTTGTATTGACATGAACTTGGACATTACCATTTTTTAAATTACTGTTGATTTTAAGTGACTCCACTTCCCCCATAGCACCACTGGCGTGAATTGTGTCTCGCTGTCTCACCGCTGATCCCCCAGTGAGCCCAGTACACGGTAAATGAGTGAGCACATCCCTGTGGTGTGAGTTTGATCCCAGTTTTACCGGAATGAACATGGAGGCTCGGAAAGATCCCAGAACTTGCCACAGCTAGGCAACCGCAGAGCGAGAATTCAAATGTGACTTCCAAGTTCATGCTCTTATCTGCTGTGCACTTAGTTGCTTGGGGTATCTGGTAGGAGTTCCGTGGGCAATTGCCACGAGAATTAAGTCTTCTTAACCTTATGCTGGCACATATAATCTTGGCTGCAGAAGGTGGTTGGGCATCGGAAATATTCCATCTAAGAAGTGTTGCCCTGCCCAGTCTTCTGAGGAGGGAATCAGAGGCCTGGTGGCTGGTGGCAATGGACCCCAGTGACCCAGGCTTGCTGGATGGGCTGGGGTTGAGCTGGGGGTGGCTGATGGCTGGCCGTTGGCTACCCTGTCGGTGTGTCCACAGCTTCCTTGGCCACTTCAAGTCCTGACAGGAGCGGGAGGCCAAGCTGGGGGCCCGGCCTCGGAGTTCACCAACACCTACGTGAAGAACCTCCAGGTGGACGTGGACGAGCAGGGCCTGGGGCAGCTCTTCTTCCAGTTTGGTGGGTGTGTTTCCCAAGGGAGTTTGGGGTCACTTTCTGTTCTGCTCCCTGGTCAGACTGGGAGGAGGGACTCTCCTGGGGCTTCCCCAGGACTTGTGGGAGGAAAAGGGGAACACCTCGGACTCCCCAAACTCCCCTTTGAGCCAGATTGGGTCTTCCCAGGGAAGATGCTGAGTGTGAAGGTGATGAGGGATGACAGCGGCCACTCCCCAGACTTTGTCAACTTTGAGAAGCATGAGGAAGCCCAGAAGGTAGGAGCCTGCTTCCCCATGGCCCTGTTTCGTGGAGGAGGTGCTGAGCAGGACTAGGAATAAGGGAGATCAGGAGCAGATCCAGCTGCTTGTGGAAGGAACTGAAGTCCCTCCCCTCTCCCGGCCACTTGAATCAGGGCCCTTCCTGCCTGTGCCAAAGGCAGAAGGCTTAAGCCTCCTTCAGTGGCTTCCAAGGCATGAGGCTGGCTTATTTTCATACATTCTTGCTGGAAGGTGGAAGGGGCCTTCAAGACAGCCACTACCCTCTTCTTGAAATGATGGTGGGACGGAGGCCAGGGAGGGGAAGGGCTATGTTATTTCTTGCTTCCAGGTATTTGCAAATGCTGTTTACTCACATTACTTCCCTTTCCTATTCTTTTTTTAAAAAATGATTTTATTAATTTATTTTTAGGGAGAGAGGAAGGGAGAGAGAAAGGGAGAGAAACATCAATGCATGGTTGCCTCTCGCATGCCCCACACTGGGGAACCTGGCCTGCAACCAAGGCATGTGCCCTGCCTGGGAATCGAACCAGTGACCCTTTCGTTTGCAGTGTGGTGCTCAATCCCCTGAGCCACACCAGCCAGGACCCTTTCCTACTCTTAAAAAAAAAAAAGATTTGTTTATTAATTTTAGTGGTGGGGAGATAGAAACATCAGTTTATTGCTCTACTTATTTATGCATTCATTGTTGCATCTTGTATGTGCCCTGACCAGGCATCAAACCCACAACCTTGGTGCATTAGGACTCTGCTCCAGTCAACTGAGCCACTCGGCCAGGGCATTGCTTTCCCGACTCTTTGGACCAGTGCTTTCCAATAGAACAGTAACACGAGCCACGTGTGCAATTTAAATTTTTCCAATAGATAAAAAAATAAAATAAAAATTTCCAGTAGCCATATGAAAAGGGGTAAAAAAAGAAACTGTGAAGTTCATTTTAATAATACAGTTTATTTGGCATAACATTTAAATTAGATCACTTCAATGAATATTTCATATAAAAATTGAGATTTTTTTTTACATTCCCTTTTATCCTACTTAATTCTTTGAAATCCAGTACCGACAGCACAATTCAGACTACCCATATTTCCAGTGCTCAGTACCCGCAGTGGCTGCCATATTGGACAGCATAGCTTTAGACTGTTTAGCGCCTGCCCTTTGAGTCTCAGCTTATACTTTCCCTCCTTCAGGAGCTGCCTCTTCTGTCTTCCCTGACTTGTGATGCTGTCTGTCTCTCCGTCGTCAGCACAGATTTCCATGTGTAGAACTGCAGGTGGGGCCTAGGGCCCATTTTACTGTTAAGTCTCCAGGATTGTATCTGCCAGGAGAAACCAGACACATCTTTGCTGAACGAATGAACGGCACACGGTCACACAGTAATAATGCCGGAATAACAAATGTTGTGTCTGGCCTCTCACCATAAAGCTCTTTCCGTGTCTGCGGCCCCGGGAAGATCACTGGATGGGGAAGAGCCCAGCTCATGGTGGGTTCTGGCCGGACACCTGGATCCTGGTGCCATCTCGACAGTAGCCCCTTCTCACTGAGCACTGAGATGAGGCCAGGCACTGCGCTAAGGGTCTTACATACAGTTTCATCTCTACCCCCACGAATGTGGGCTCTGTGTTGTTAAGAGGTTCCATGGGTTGGAGCTGGTAAGAGTGATCACTGGGGTTGGAACCAGCTCTTTCCGACTCTGAAGTTTGTTCTTAAGTAAATGGCTCCATTGAAAGATAACTTCTTGTGAGTCCTTGGATGAGTCCTGCCCTCTCGCTAGGTTTTGCTTCCCCAAACTGTAAAATGATTAGAAGGAGTAGATGGAAGAAGCTGCAGGGGTCCATTAACTCCAAGCTCTTAAAGAGACTTTGGTAATGGCCTTTAAGACTGGTGTAGAACTGGCAGTTCATGGGTCCACAATGCATATTTACATATATTTGCATATATTTGTATATTTAGGTGGAAAAGCAAAAGTCATCATTACCTGAAAGTATTTAGTAATGAACCGACTACTTAAAAAGTCAGTTCCTGCCCTGGCTGGTGTGGCTCAGTAGATTGAGTGCCAGCCTGTGAACCGAAAGGTCATGGGTTTGATTCCCAGTCAGGGTACATGCCTGGGTTGGCAGCTGAGTCCCCATTTGAGGGTGAACAAGAGGCAACTACTCGATGTTTCTCTCCTTCTCTTTCTCCCTCCCTTCTCTTCTCTGAAAATAAGTAGATACAATTAAAGAAAAAAAGTCAGTTCGCTTCACCGTTTCTCTTTGCTAACACTGTTATCTGCTCCTGACCATTAAGTCAGGCACACGGGGCTGTGCCTTTCGCTGGTGTGGGGGGATAAGTAAGTCAAATCCAGTTTTGTGTAAGTGGGTAGCAGAGAGAAATTGCACATCTCACCAGAGATGTAGGATTTCATGCAAAGTCACAGACAAGTTAGGGTCTGGCAGGCTCAGGCCAGTTAACTGGAGAAAAGAAAAATCTAACAAGCATGAAGACACACACACGTTTCTGAAACTAAAGTCCTCGTAATTAGCAAAAGGATTCTTTGCGCCATGAAATCCATCATGAAGGAAAGGCTGTTGATTATGCTGTCGTGACATTTTGAAAGAATTATTCGGGCTATTTTGTTAAAGAAAAATCAGTGGGTAGTCAGAAACTAATGGTCAAATACAGGAAGCTTTGCAAATGTCAATTTCCCTTTTTACAATACAGTCAAAAGCAAGTTTTTTTTAAAAAAAAAACGATTGACTGTTCTACTCAGTAGCTCTGTGACCTTGAGCAGACCTTCTGAGCTCTATCTTCCAGATGAGGGAGCTGGGCTCGCTGGTTAGTTCTCAACTCTGACTTCTCACTAAAATCCCCTAGGGAGCGCTTAAGTACAGACACCTGAGTCAGAAATTGAATGTAGATCTCTGAGGGTAAGGACTATGTATTTTATTTTTAAAAGCTCCCCAGATGATTTTAAGATGGCCCCGTGTTCCTTCATTTCATACTTAAGCACCTGCTGTTTTACCAGGCCCTGTGGAAAGCATACAGAATCAAGTCCTTGTCCTTGAGTAGCGTATAGTGTAGTGGGGAAGTCAGAGGCATCACCAACTGAAATCTGTTATAAGGCAAGTATTGGAGGCAGAGCTACGGTAGGTAGCTCAGTGGAACAGGAAGGAGGGCTTCCTGTAAGAAGTGGTGGTGGCAGCAGGATTTGACGTGGCCGTGAGGAGGTAGGGAGCTGCAGATGGGAATGAGGAGCTTTCCAGTGAGATCCGTGTGGATAATGGGCTGGGGCCCGCACTTGTATAGCGATGGCTGTGTTCTCGGGAAGCGATGTAGAAGTTCTTTTGCCTGTTAAATGTCCTTTATGGATCCCAGTATATGGGAAAGAGGTTCTAACAGTTTTTGAGTTAAGGAGCTTTTAAAAAAACAAAACCGTGACAGAAAGCTGTGGGGCATGTAAATTAAGCAACAGGAAATTTGATTTCACACCAGAAGAAGTCATGGGCCCTCTTCTCCAGCAAGTGCACATGTGGTGTAGCATTGTGGTTGAAAGCTGGGCCGTTAAAGTGAATCAGAACTAGGTCTAAATCGCAGTCCTGCCATGAACTAGCTGTAGAACCGCAGGGAAGTGACTGCCTTTTGGACTCTGTTTGCCTGTCTGTAAAATGGGAGCAACATTCTCTGTCTCTAGGGGTTTCCTGAGAGCTTAAGAACCTGCATGCAGAGTGCCTGCCCATGATAAGCAGTGATACCGTGATCTAATTATTTATACACATTGTGTATAATTTCAGGAGATTCACCCACCTCCTTGAGGACTCCTTGAATGAAGGGAATTGTCAAACTCTGGATTTTTAGATTAGAGTTGAGGCACACCTATTTGTTAATTGATTTTATATGTTTATATATTTTTATAGAACTTAATATCATAAAATAGTGATTAGGAAGATTAAATGAGTCAATGTATATAAAGTATTTACATTAAGCATTGCTATTAAGTTCATTAGTAAGCTTTTCATAAGTGTTAGTTGTACTAATTTTCTTCTTCTTATTTTTTTATTATCGGTCCCAGTCCCCCCACCGGGCTCTAATGGATCACATTTAAAAATGATCTCAACTCTATTGCTCATGGTGTGGGTGAGCCAGGCCAGTGTCTTGACCCTAAAAAAGATGAAGAGCCCTAAATAAAATGTGGGTTGGATCCTGGAAGAGAAAAAGAAATACCAGCAGTAAAACGGGTGAAATCCAGAGGAAATGTACAGTTGAGTTAATAGCACTGTGCGCGCACGTTACTGCGGTAGTTTTGACAAATGGACCATATTAACACTGAGAGCTGGGTGGATGGCATCCAGCAACTCTGTGCTCTTTCTGAGAGTTTTCTGCACATCTAAAGTTATTCCAAAATAAAAAGATTATTTTAATGAAAAGTGGAAGCCTTTTCCCCAGACTCCGAAAGACCTGACTCAGGGCCGTGTGGAGGCGATGGGGGTTCATCAGGCTGCGCGTTGGGCTGCAGTCCTGGCTGATTGGTGATCCACTGGCTGGGTGACCCTGGACAGGCCACTCTTTAAAAAACGGTACAAAGAACTTTTATGTCTTTTTTAAAAGATGAAAATATTTTTCATCTATCTATTTATTTTTAGAGAGAGGGAAGGGAGAAAGAGAGGGACAGAAACATCAGTGTGTGGTTGCCTCCTGTGCGCCCTCCACCAGGGACCTGGCCCACAACCCAGGCATGTGCTCTGACTGGGCATTGAACCGGTGACCCTTTGGTTCTCAGGCTGGTGCTCAATCCGCTGAGCCACGCCAGCCAGGGCAGAACTTTTATTTCTAGCAAAAAGAAAATGAACAGATTAAAGCACCAAAAATAGAAATTCAAATTATTTTCTATTACCTACAAATCTAGCTCTTGACTGGCGTCTCCAGGAAAGGTAGCTGTCGGGAGCACCTTTCTTACATTCCTCGTTCCCAGGTGAAGCAGAGGACTGAGAGAGTAGTCTAATAAAACCCAAGAAGTGGTCGGAATGCAGATGGTTTCCATCATGGTGACCTCACCTGAAACAGTTCAGACGGTGGCCCTGGCTGAAGAGCCTGCCCTAGTCGTAGATTTTTAAACCCTACACGACATCTCACTTTGTGAAAGCCCCTCCGTGACAGCGTCCCTTTGCAGCCTGAGAAATCTTTTCAGAAAGAAAATGGAGAGATCAAACCATGTTCTGAAATGCAGCTGTTCCCCCCGACTCCGGGGAGCAGCAGTCTGTGAAACATGAGCAGCTCCCTGGTGGCCAGTGGCCTGGTCTCCGACCTGTCACTCTGGAGCCCCACGTTTCTCCCCTTTGAAGAGGGAGTTTGCAGTAACATGAGGAGTGTATCTGGCATCTGGCATGCGGTGGCCCTCAGTGAATGCGGGGGCGCCAGTACACCCCTGACGGCACATTTCTCCTGGGCCAGCTCCGGGCCAGGCCGGGCCCTAGGAGTCTACCTTCACCTTCCCAGCAGCCCTTGTCCTGCTTTTTAGGTGATGACAGAGGGTAGCCGCAGCAAAGGTTTGGCTTTGTGTGTTTTTCCTCTCCAGAAGAGGCAACAAAGGCCGTGATGGGGATGAACAGGTGCGTCCTTGGCAGCAAGCCGCTGTACGTGGTGCTGGCCCAGCGCAAAGAGGAGCGGGAGGCCGTCTTGACAGACCAGTGCATGCGGCAGCGCCTCTGCACGCGGGCCCTGGCGGCCCCCTTCATGGGCTCCTTCCAGCAGCCCACCAGCTGCCCACCGTGCCCCGGGTGAGGGCCTGCCTGCAACCCCAGGCGGAGTGGGAAGAGAGCTCATGGGCAGACATATGTTCCCAACCTGCCTCTGCCAGAAACAGCAGGTCGTTTTAACTCCATCTCTAACGGGGCTAATAGTGTCGCTGTCAAACAGCGATTCCCAGAAGGCGAGAGGGATTTGTGAATGTTATTCGGAAAAAGATTCTTTGGCCAATTTTAAGTTTGGGAAGTATTACAGTAAAGGAGGCCCAGGTTTCTTCAACACATACGTTGTTCCACTGCCTGTAGACAGTCTGAATTAGCAAAACCAGCAGAGTGGGTCGTAGTCCCCCAGCATAAACAGTCGTCTTTGTGGGGTGCTAACATCGCAGAGGGACGTGGTTTGGGAAAGGAGGTCTTGTGACCTAGAGGAAGTAGAAAGGTGTTAGCCATTAAAGGCTACGAGACTGGGACATTCCGTCTCCTTTCAGCAATTGCCTAAGGGGGCGTAAGTTTCAGTAGGACCTGTCTTCACTTTATCCAAGTTATTGGGTTAGTTGCTCCGATAATAAGGGACAACGGTTGAACCTGAGATCTTACCCTTAAAGGCTGAGGGATAATGGACACCCCGAACTGGGAAGCAGGCCTTCATCCCAGCTTTATGGGTCTTTCCTAACCAGTCCGCAGGGGGCCAGTGGAGTTCCTGCAGAGGTGTCCCCGAGGGGATGCAGTGTCTCACTTCCCCTGCCGCAACCCCCTCACCCTGGGCCATCTTCTCCCACAGCCTCCAGCCCCGGCTGTGTACTGCGGCTCTGGCCCCCGTCCAGCCTGCCCCCAGGTGGATGGCCCAGCCTCCTGGATCCTCCCGTGAGTGACGCCGCCCCTTCCACCCATGAGTGTGGGAGAAACATTGATGTGAGAGAAACATGGATCAGTTGCCTCTCCAATGTGCCCCAGCCAGGGACTGAACCTGCAACCCAGGCATGTGCCCTGACTGGGAATCGAACCTATGACCTTTCATTTTGCAGGACAACACCCAACCAACTGAGCCATGCTGGCCAGGGCCAGATTGGCTCCTCTTTAAAATGGGGATGAGAACAGTTTTCCCGTTTTGTTGTGTGGGTGAATGGGATCACACATGCAGGGACTTAGCGCTGGGTCTGAACTCAGTAGGTTCACAGCGGCAGCTGTGAACAGGGAGAAGACTGAGCCTGTAGGCAAGCACACGTGGCGGGTGTTTGTGCCTCTGTGTGCTGGCCCTGTACTCAGTGCTGGGGATTCTACGTGAATGCTCATCTCTAGGCTTTTACGGCCTCACGTTGGTGCCGGGCCGTAACATCCCTGCTCATTCCTTACAGCCAACATTGGTACCCAGACCACCGGGCCCGGTGAGGCAGGATGCTCTACACCAAGGAGGCCTCTCCTGACACACAGATGTTGCTTGGGAACGCCCAGCACCTATGGGGTGAGGCTGGCCAGCTGCCCTCTTAGTCCAGGGTCCCAGGGGCCTGCCGAGAACCTTAGCTAATGCATTGGCCCTTCCTGGGCCAATTTCTTCCTTTTCTTGGCTTGTAAAGTTTCATTTATTAATGTGTACAGTCAAGAAGAGATCACCCTTACTAACAGGAGGAGAGGGGCCAGGGTCAAATTTTGTTTATTAGTCACAATTTGGATTTTCTCAGTATTTGTGTGTTGAGAAGCAAAACTGTGGTTTATCTGCGGAACAGAACTGAAAATACCTACTCTCATTAAGTTTAAAGGCTGAGTATTTATCTCCCCGCTACCCTGCAAAAGTCTCAACCTCAGCATTTTCATCTCCTGTCTAGAATTTCGGTATGTGTACTTGGAACAATTTCTTACAAAAGGACCAAGAGTAGTCTTTAAACAGCAAAATGCTTTTAAAGTTACCAAGATGCGAAAGGGTCAGAAGTACGTTAGGAATATGGCCATAAACGCTACTTAGTCAAAAGTACTTTGTCTGGCACGAAGTGATTCGTAAGGAGTGTCTTCGCTGGGCAACGTGCATCGGGGGCCTTTAGAGGTTCCCAGTGCTGTGGAAAACACCTGCGTTGAAGTGGGACTCCATTGTCTAGTCCGCCGTGCCCTTGATGGGGACTCTGTCCCCCCCGATTGTCCATACCTTGGCCCCCGCTCCCCTCTTCCAGAGCCTTCCTGGAGGCCTGTGCTCACCTGGCAGGGTTAAGTGCTTCCAGGCTTTGCCTGTGCGTGTGGTGGTGAAGGGCCGTGTCCCCGGCACCATGTGCAGGTCCAGGAGCCTGCTGTGTGCCTTCCCGGACAGGAGCCCCTGACCGCATCCGTGCTGGCCGCAGCACCGATCCACAAACAAAAGCAGGTGATTGGTGAGTGGCTGGTTCTCCTGCTCTGGAGCAGGAGGAGGGGGGCTGGGAGCTCGCTAGCCTGGTGGGAAACACCCTGAGTGGGGGTCAGACGTGAGGACAAGGTCCAGCTTCGCCACTGACCAGCCTCCTGGGTGACCTTGCCCGAGCTACCTCTGTCATCTAGGCCCCATTCTCTCATCTTAAAATACTGGTCAGACCAGGTATGCCCAGTATTTCTTCAGCTCTGCTGTACTTGACTTTGATTAGGCTGGGAGAGACCCCAGCTGTGGGGAGGGTGGGGCCAGGAGGAGTCAGAGTATGAAGGGTGTGGTCTTGGGTTTCTGCTGAGACATGGCGGCGTAAGGTGGGAGCTGCGGCTCCTCACACCTCCCCCAGCTGGGGAGCAGCTCTCACCACATTGCAGCAGCCGCCAAGGAGCCCCCTGCAAGGGGAGGACACAAGTGTGCATTGGGAAGGCAGGCGTTGGTCCTCACTGGACCCCGAGTTCCCATGCAATTACTCCTGTGTCTGGGACCCTGTTCGAGGCGGCCGCGAACTGTTGAACGAACGAACAAGCCTGCTGGTGGTGGGCAGGTTCTTTTCTCCCAGGCCGCCGAGATCCCCTGGCCCTTCTCTGTAGCTCCCCACTGCTACTGCCCCACTGTTTCCTCAGCTCACTGGGGTTCTGCCGCTTCACTACTACACCCCAAAGGAGAAGTCTCAGTGCGCTTAATGGAGGCAGAAGGCTCTGCAAGCCGCGCCTTGAAAACATCTTCACTTTCATCCCGGGGAGAGCTCTCCTACTCAGGGCACCCAGCAGCGCAGCCTGGCTAGACCCTCCACACGTGGCTGAGATGGGCTGGCCAGCAACCCTGGGCCCTTCATTTTAAGTACCTGGTGGTGGAAAGTGCAATTATCTTGTGTATTTGGCTCCCCACCCCCACCCCCATAAAGTCAAGTTCAGCATTACTATATCCTGTCTAGAATCTGTGTGTATACTTGGAACTATTTCCTGCAAAATGAGCAAGCACCCTACGCGATGACTTCACATCTGATATCAGATTTGATCTGCAGACTGACCTCCAGAGGGGGGTTTTCATGCCCATTTCACAGTTGGGGAAGAAGCTTCTGGTCACCAGGTTAAGTGACCCAGCAGTACTGTGACAGCCACCCAGACGCCTCACTGCTCCATTCCACAGTAGCCCCTGGGATGCTGGGTTACCAGCCAGGTGTGTGTTCATAAGCCATCAGAGGCTGTTCCGTACAGGTGAGCGTCTCTACTCCCTTATCTACGATGTCCACACCCAGCTGGCTGGCAAGATCACGGGCGTGCTGCTGGAGATCGACAACTCGGCGCTGCTGCTCATGCTGGAGTCCCCGGAGTCCCTCGGTGCAAAGGTGGGCTGGGGCCAGGGTGGCAGGGAGCCCTGAGGGCAGGAGGGCTCAGGACCCTGGTGTCTCCTAGATGAGCAAGCAGACTGCTGCTTGGATGGATGAGGGTTATTGTCTTGCTAACACCTGCAGAACCCTGGAATGGGATAGGTGGCTCCCTGCAGCTCAGCAGGCAAGGTGTTGGCACAAGGAGCTGTGTCCTGACTCCAAGCTGGGATTTTCCCGGCTGTCCAGCAGTGAACACCTGTCTTATGGTGACCGTGGGTTTGTCAGGGGAGCGGGAGCCAGTCAGATGAGGGCTCTGCGGATGCTGTGGAGGACGGGGGAGGCGTTGGCTCTCCTGGGGCCTGGCTGGGGCAGCAGCACGAAGGCCCTCCCACCGCCCCACAGGTAGAAGAGGCCTTGGCAGTGTTGCAGGCTCACCAGGCAGCGGAGAGGACGAAAGTGAACGTCACTGAAACCAGGTGGGTGGCTGAGTGTGCGGAGGGGTGAGAGAAGTAGCTGAGCCCAGAAGTGGCAAAGAATGGGGCGGGGACTTTCACCAAGTCCCTGAAAGCCAGGTGGTGTCACTGCTTTCTCTGAGGTCCCAGAAACAAACGTGGGGAAACATGTGACTGGAATGGGTGTTAACCATCAAATAAAGCAAAGGCATTCTCTTGCCAGCTGTCCAGCCCCTCTCTTGCCAGCTGTCCAGCCCCTCTCACCCTGGGCAGGGCTTCCCCCGGGCTCTGCCTGCTCCATGCTGCCTGTTTGAAGGCCTGGCTTGGCCCAGTCTCTGTTCCTAGATGAAGACGGGGCATCTGCCATCCTTCAGAAACACCGATTTGACCCTTTTATCCCCGGAAAATAGAACCCGCACTCCCCTGGCTGACAAGAGAATGGTGTTTCCTGCTCCTGGCTCTAAGACCTGTGATCTGTAACGTAACTCCCAGTTGGGCTGTGTCTGTACCTGAGCTCCGTGTGTGGCGTCAAGGCCGGTCCCCCAGCCAGCCGTTAACTTTTTTGCTTTGTGCATTAAAGTGCTGCAAACTGCGGTTCGTCTCCCAGGAGGCCTTGTGTGAGGGAGGTGGGGCGGAGTGAAGGGCAGGCTTGGCTGGGTCGGGGCTTCGGCTGTAGGGAACAGAACCGCCACCACGCTGAGGCCACGGAGGGTGCGGACCAGGGCAGCACCGCCTGTGCGAGCCCCAGAGGAGCAGCTGCCACTCACCAGTGGTGCAGTGAGTGCCTGGACGTTTGTCATCACACCGCACTGAGAAACGAACTCAAGCCGCAGGCGCCCACGCCCGGACGCCTGGCGGGAGCACCTGCAGTGCAGGTGAACATGCGGGAGGTGGCAACTGCTTCTGGGCTCCGGGCCAGGGACTGAGTAACAAAGAACACGCGTGTAGACAGCAACCGCCCTAGGCTGCCTTCCCAGGTCACCGTTTTCCTCCCCTGCAGGGACGGGAAAGCCCCTTCAGGTTATACAGGCCTCAGCTTGGTTTCCTTATTAAATCAAGGTATTTGCTCTCTAGACCTCAGGACAAGACAGTTGTGACTGGATGTCACCATTAAACTGCCTCAAATCAGGTAAAAATCATGCCTTATGAGGGGGCAGTAAGAGGGGACAGCTCCCGCTTTGAGATGGTCGCCTGGTTACGGCGCGTCTGTGGACACAGCTCACAGGTGTGTGATTGCTCAGCAGACTCCTTCCAAGGACGGAAGCAGCGTGCTGGCCAATGTCCCGCACTGGGAGGGATGGGGGCAAAGGGACAGGAAAATACTGCTCCCCCCGACGGAGCCACCAAACCGCTGCTCCAGCGAGAGGCCACAGCCTGGGAACAGCAGGCAGCCCCCAGTCCTGGCCGGACGCTAAAGCCCTCTGCAGCCTTGTCCCGACCACGTTTTGTGAGCGAGGGGCATTTCTGGTCCCTGTGCTCACTCCGTCCTCTCCTCTTCACCAGCTGAACCTCAATTCCAGCTGACTACCCCAGGGGCCCCCTTCCCTCCAGGGGCCCACACCTCCCCAGGTAGGGAAGGAAGGCACTGTATGACGACTCCTTTAAAACAAATTGGTGGCAGTAGTGCACTTGTTCCGGAGACCATCTGACTAAGTTCCCACTGTCCCACGAACTGTCAGCCCCCTGGGAGCAGGGACGGTGCCTCTATCCACTGCGGTTCCCCAGCACTACACATGCGTGGTCCAAGCAGACATTGCAGTGAATTTGTACAACGAACAGATGAATGTTCAAAAGGCGGTTGCTTTTGTTATTGCAGAATTCCAGGCACTAAGCTGAAAAAGCATGAATGAAAGTACGCCACATTTATGTAGAAGAAAGACGTTTAATGTCATCACTTAAACACACAGTTCAACAAAAGCAGAGTCAGGCAGTTCAACTTAACTTCGGGGAACAAAGAACTACGAAACCTGGAGGGAGCCACAGTTGGGATCAAAAGGCAGGTCCCTGCCCAGAACAGAAGGACACTGACCTCAAGGAGGCCTGTCTTCCCACCCCACCACCTTCAAAAGAGGTCACACGGCTGGACTCCTGCAGCAGCGCAGATGCCTCCACGCAGGAGGCAGCCCGGAGCCCGTCAGAGCCACCCGAGGGTCAGAGCTCTGCGTCCCCACCAGAGCGAGGCCTGGCCCGAAGGGGCTGGAGCTCAGAGCCCAGGGTGCTACGCCAAGGACAGGGCAGGATGGCAGCCCTGGAGAACCAGCTCAACAGGCTGCTTGAGGTGTGGGTAGGACAGGGTTTTCTAGTCCTGTGGGCACCCCCACCCACTCAGGCTGCACAGATGAACCACAACGAGGTGAGGCTGGTGAGGTGAGTGAAAGGCAGCACTCAGCCTGAGGCATGCTTGGGGCGGGGACAGGGCCCCGTGCTTTGCCAAGGACCTGTCTTCTGATCTGCTAGCTACCCAAGGCAGGGGGAATGGCGAACAGGGCTTCAGCACAACGGGGGGACCTTTCCAAGAAAACAACATCAGGTTTTGACTACACTGACCTTCATTTGAACAAAACATCTTAAGGGGTGGGAGGCCATTACCTCTTTGAGGGGGAGAGGATGGTGCTTCAGAGTGCACTCTGGGGCATGCTGGGGCCCAGGAGCAGGCACAGAGGAAGGTGATCTGGCAGAGGTTCCTGCTGCCCCTTTGGGTTTTTAGTTTAAGCTCTGGTTGACTTCCTGCTGCAGCTTCTGGGCAGGGCCATTCCTGGGCTCAATTTTCAGGAGGCTGTTGATGTCTGCGAAGCTGGACTTATAGTCCTAATGGGGGAAAGAAGGGTGTGGGCACAGTGCCGCAACCGAGGTGAGACCCGCTGGGGGGTGGGGCAGCTGCTGCGATGGCAGAGGCTTTTCAAGCCCCAGCTGCGGGCCGCCCTGAGCTGCCCCAGGCCCTGGATGAGGCCCTTGACTACACTGTGGGAGTACCACTGCAGGCACACGTGTCTCCAGTTGGTACCTCTGGTCGGGGTCCTCTTACCTTGAGAGCCTTGTAGGCTTGAGCCCGTCTGTAAAAGGCTTTCACGTTCTTCCCATCCAGCCTGAGGGCTTCGGTGCAGTCCTTCACTGCCTCCTTGTACTGCTTCAGGACCAGGTGGCAGAGCGCCCTGCAGGGGAAAGGCCGACCCAGAGGTTTCGGTCACTTCTGAGGGGCCACCCAGAGCGTGGGGTAGTTTGAGAGTGATCTTGATTTCCTGAACACCTACTCTGTGCAGCTTACTTTATACCTTCATCAGTCTGCACAAGAACCCTAGCCCTTTTTACAGGTGAAAGTCAGCCTGGTGTGGGGGCAGTGGGGGGCAGCAACTTGCTCACGGTGCACCCACTGCTGAAGGGCAGGGCCTGACCTCACTGATCACAGAGTCCAGCACTCTGTCCGCCTCCCACCCCCACACTGCAATCTTTCAAGCAATGGAATGGCCTTCTGAGACCTTCCCCTTGACAGACTAAAAAGTCACCTGCCTTAAAAATCTAGCGAATATATAAATACTGGACTTAAATTCGTGACATGCGTGCTGATGTGTTAGGGACCAGGTGAAGGTGTCTGCCACTGAAACTCATCACAGATGAGATGAGTCAACAGACAGCTAAATGGTAATAAAGCAAAAACATGACAGAATGTTAAGGATGAAGTTAAATGGAAGGTATGTCCATGTTCAGTGAAAAATCTGTCAGCTTTTATTTTGAAAATTTTCAAAATGCTCGAAAAAAATTTCGGAAGTAAATGTTGGCAAAAGCAAGTCACGCGCACCCACAGAGCAGACCACGCTGTGTCTGTGGGGGGTGAGTCTACATGAGTCTTCCTCGCCAGTTCCCGCCCTCCCCCCAGAGATGGTCACGGAGACAGCCAGGCGTCCTGGGACTCAGCATGCAGGTCCAACCACTCCACCTCACCGCTTTGGGTTTTGCTTTTAAAGATTTTATTCTTACTCAGGGAGGGGGGGTACGGGGGGAGAAAGGGAGAGAAACATCAATGTGTGGGTGCCTCTCAAGTCCCCCTACTACTGGAGACCTGGCCTGCAACCCAGGCAGGCATGTGCCCTGACTGGGAATCGAACCGGTGACCCTTTGGTTCATAGGCCGGTACTTAATCCACTGAGCCACACCAGCCAGGGCCACCTCACTGTTTTGAATAGGGGCAGAGCAGTCACTTGGCTGGATGCACCTGATTGACTTTCCATTACAAAGCAGCCTGGGAGACAACAGGAGTGAGCGAAGAGGCACTGGAGCTTTGGAGTCACGAAGACCTGGCCGCAGTCACGGCTCTACCAGGTAGGGGTTAACTCTTCCTCACCTGCACCTGTTTCCCACAGGCAAACGGGACCACGACCGAACCTGAAGAGCTGCTGTGAGGACTGAATGAGTCTCTGGAGGTCCCCTGAGGGCATGGCATGCTGTAGGTGCGGGGGACCTGAGTGGTGGTGTCAGAACCGAGGTGAGCCAGGGACGGCGCACGGGCACACGCAGATGCACACGCACGTGAGGCGGGGCACCAAAATAGCATCCAGGATGCGGGAGACTTTTGGCCTCCATGTTTTGTGTAGTTACCAGTGCTCCAAGTTAAGTTTATAATTCAGTGTGATCACGACCAAAAGCCCAACAACATACTTCTTGAAATTTGTCAAAATGACCCTAAGGTTTAGCTGGAAGAGCTAATCTGGGAAAACAGCCAGAGATGCTCACTGAGCATGAGGAAAAGACCAGCCCTGTGAGATATTACACAGACGAGTAATGCCCTGGCTGGAGTGGCTCAGTGGGTTCAAACCACAGGGACCCCGGTTCCATTCCCAGTCAGCATAAGCCGAGGTTGCGGGCCGAGAGGTAACCCATCCATGCTTCTCTACCTCTCTCTCCCTTCCACTCTCTCTAAAGTAAATAAAATCTTTTAAAAAAGGAATGCAAACTGAAAAGCGGTTTTTAAATCGTCATCTCAAAGTGTGGTAACTATTCAGGAAAACGGGTTAACGGAGGTCTCCAGAAAGCGGGGCTGGCGAGGCCAGAGAGCCCAGCGACGGGGGTGTTAGAAGCCGGCGCTGCACTCACACGGAGCCAGTGGGCCACGGACTCTTAACCAAGTCAGCCCGGCGGACGGAGGCACCCCGGTCACTCAGCCAGTAAAGCCAGAGGTCCGGTACTTAAAACTGAGAGTTCTCTCTTTCACTCGGGCAGTACAGCCTGACCTGAACTGGCACGAGGCCGATCTCTTTCCATGCCACCCACGGGAAAGTGTCAGTTCCTTTTGCATCACCGCGGAAACGCTCCCAACCGACTTCACGAGCCGCCAGACCCTGAACGTCACGCGATTCAGGGTACGGACCGCGTTTCCCCACTGGACGGAAACACGGGTTTGGCTACAGCACGGTGAGCCTGTAACAGAGACCAGGTTTCTGAACTGAAGGTGCAGGTGCAGGCCCTGGTGCGGCGCCAGGAGCCTGGCCCCTCAGGCGAGACGGCACCTGTCCCTCGCTCCCAGGCTGGGCGATAAGTACCCCACACCCTGGCTTCTGCCCCGTGTTCTCAGAGCCAAACCTTCTAACAGGAAGATCTCGGAGCAGCCGTGGGGTGGGAGCAGGGAAGGTGGGGAGCCTACGAGACTTGCGATGGGGTGCTGTCTGTGTAGTAAGACATCTAATGTGGTGGTTAAAGAGAATTCTGGGAGGGGGGCTAACAAAGCCCAGACTTCCCTTTGGCACCCCTCAGTTTCTATCCCTTTAATAGAGTGGACGGCACTGGCAATGCCTGCCTCACCGTGACCAAAATGGGTGTGACTGCGTGTTCTGAGCTGTAACGTAGTGACTAAATGCTAGGGGAGAAGAGCCCACCACAGTCCACGAGAAGGCTGCGGAACGGGACAGCCGATGTCCTGAAACAGCCCTGGCCAGCAGCTGCGGGGAAGGTACCTGTTGCTGTATGTGGCAGATTCCAGGTTACAGAATGACAGGCTTTCGCTGTACTTCTCGATAGCTTTCTTGTGGTTTCCCTTCTTCACCAGCTCATTGCCTTCTTCCTTCAGAACTCTGGCTCTCTCCACATCCCCAGAGGAAGGCACTAGACACAAATCCAGAAGAGGAAAAAGTCACGGAGCAGATGCCTGGCTGAGATCAGTGAGCTATCTTCAGCATCGTCTCTTCCAGGTCACCCGCAACCCTCGCCCCAGGGTTTCCTACGCTGTTGTAAAGCATCCTCCCTTCCTGGTCAAGGATGACCTCGATCAATGGCTTGTGGGAAATACACACAGTTCTTTGTCCGGAAGAGGGTGGGGACTCCTGATGTAAACACACACACACGGAATAACATACAAATGATAGAAAGCAACCCCGGTCTCAGCCCTGGCACTGCCGCGGGGAGCTGGAAGATCCTGTGTGACCTACTGCTCTGCCGGACCTCAGTTCCCTCACCAATGGGGTGGAAGGTCGAGACTACCCACGGAAGTGCAAAACCCCTCTGAACTTAAAGCAGGAGAATAACTATTTAAATAAATAAGCATCTGGTAAAGAGAGGGCCATGCCCACCCCCGGGGCTTTCAGAAAAGGGGGATGAGTACTATTCCTCGCTGCTTTGGTCTGGGCCCACCCCCCTCGCCCCACGCACCTGCCCCTGCTTTCAAGGGGAAATGGGAGGAAGACGGTGAAATCCGAGCTGCTCAGCCTGGCCTTCAGGCCTAAGTTAACCGTTCCAGCCCCAGCTCCCATGTCACCTGCTTTTTTAATTTTTAAAAACTATAAAATACTAAATATTTATGAGAAGGGTAAGGTTTTACGAGTAAAGTAACACCCTCACGCTCATCCCTCACCTTCAGGAACAGGACATTTACCGGCACCTTCGCAGCCCTGGGGGCCCTTCCCCAAAATCAATCCACCCCTGCAGGAAATCAGTATCCTCAGTCCTAGGCATCCCCTCCCCTCTTTTTTTGGTTTTGGTAGTTTATTATACAGTAGTCTCAATAAAGCATTTGCTTTTGAACTTCATGGAAAGGAACCAGTAATTCTGTGCATTCTTTCAAGACCTTGTTTTCGCTCTCCCCTCAAAGCTCCGTTCCTGAGCCTGCCCTGTGCTGATGCCTTCAGTGGTTTGTCCATCCTCACTGCTGCAGTGCAGTCGGTATGGAGATGCGTCATTTCCAGTTTCGTTTCTTGCTACTATGAACATTTTGCTGTGAACACTCCTGTACGCATCCCTTTACGCACATGTGCATGAGTTTCTCTAAAAGCAGAGCCAGCAGGATGCAACGTACACGCAGCTTCGGCTTCCCCCACCCTGCAACGCACCCCGCAACGCACCATGCTTGCCGTCACGCCTACTCCTGCTGTCTGTCAGCAACACCCCAACATTCGCTGGCTCTCCACTGTCCCTGCCAGGGACTCCCGTCCCTCCTCCCTTTCCCACCTGATGAGATCACCCCGTAAGGCCCGGCTCAACCTACCATCTCCACTGTCACCTCCTCCGAGAGCCTTTTCCTGACTCCCCCCACACACGTCGATTCTGATTTTGAACTCCCCAAATACTAGACTCTTGAGCACTTGCTCTTATTCCCGCATCTTAAACTGCTGTGTGTGTGTCTCAGTCTCTCATCAGACTGAGAGATTCCAAGGGCCAAGACCACCCGTCCTGTCTCGGCACTGCAGTGCTCAGCGCGGGGCCTGCCTGGGGCACCCAGGGCTCAGTGTCTGACTGAGACAAAGAGGTAAGTGGTAGAGGCACCGAAGCCATATAGCTCATTAGCACCCCCGCTTTCATTCCAGGGGAGAGTGGGGAACAGTTACCAGGCTCCCACAAACCAGAGTGAATGAGACCTATGGCCAAGCAGGTTTCCTCCTGGGAAGGGGAGTAACCCCTGCCGTCCACGCCAGACTCCAGCCCCGACCCTTGTGCACTGCCCAGCCTCGATGCCTAGCTTCCAAGCTGGTGGTTCCCCTGCCCAAGGGGGCACAGGCGATCGAGGTGGACAGTCTCCTGTGCAGGGCTACCCGCCTTTGACCTCCCTCCTCTCATTCTTCCTGCCCAGGGCCTCACACAGGGCTCAGGTTCCTGGGGAAGCGCCGCCCCCTGGCCGTGGAGGTCAGGGCTAAGCAAACCACAAAATCGTAGGCCTTGGCCACAGGGGACTAGTTTGGGGGATGGCCTGTGACCAAACAGACAGAATCAACTGAGAAAATAAGTGAGTTAGGGATTTGGGGAAAAGAACTCTCAGAAAAAAAGTTTTTCCCTTCTCCTAGATCATGAGGCATGGTGTACAGATGTGGGCCCGGAACCCCAATAGCTCTTTTACGCTAAGAGGGGAGCCTGCCCTCAGAGACTGCCCTGACCACCCCAGAGAAGGGAGCTGAGCCTGAACCTGGAGGGGGCTGACGGGCAGACCCTGCCCAACCCTGAACTCTAGACTTCCCAATTATATGAGCCAATAAACCTTTATTATTTTCACCAGGGTGAGTTTTCTAATCTTGTAACCAGGGAGTCCAGTATCATACACCCCCAAGTGCTGCTGGGAAAGACAGGAACTGACACCAGACAGCTCTGTGCCGGGCTGGGGGTTCAACACGCCTCACACCACTTAACCCCTACAGTGGATGGGGGGTGGTTCCCTCACAGTCCTCACTGTGGAGCTGAGACAGTCCCTAAGAGGTAAAGACTCTTTCAGTTTTAATATTATTTTGGTAACTCGGATTAAACGAGGCCAATTTTTACAAGATTGCTCAAAACGAAGTGGCTATGGGGAAACTGTAAAACCGAGCAGGGAGACACAGCTTACCTCTGCCCTTGCCAACTGTGATCTGTTTGTATTTGCTTTTAGACGTCTCCTTGTGATTTTCCGAAGACGAGGGATTCCACTTCTTCTGGGCTGAAGCAGGCACCAAGGGCACAGAAGGCAGCTTCAGGCGCCACTCGGGCCCCAGTGAGTCCATGAGAGCTTTGGTCATTCTGCAAACAAAGGCAGGATTACAGGGAGGTCTCCAGCTGGGTCCTGATGTTTCTCCCCTCCTAACCCCAAGGGGAGTGTGTGAGAGACAGGTGAGCACCCTCCCCTGGTTTGAACCACCGCTTTAAATCTGCCTGACATGCAGCAGGAAGGGACCGGGGCTCTGCCACCCATAAAAGTCTTCTCCGTTCAGCCACGGGACGCTCCCTCCCTGCCTGGCCCTCATTTGGTCAGGCTATGTCAACTTCAAGGTGAAGAGCTACTGCTTGTTATGAGTACTTCAACCTTACCACCTTTACCCCAAAGGACCACACAGTCCCTCGGAAAGGACTATGTGTTTCATATTTTTATATTGGTTTTTAGAAAGAAAGGAAGGAAGAAAGAGAAACGTTGATTTGTTGTTTCATTTACTTATACATTATTGGTTGATTCGTGTATGTACCAGCCTGACTGGGACCAAACCTACAACCTTGATGTGTAGGGATGATGCCCCTACCCAACTGCCCTACCTGCCAGGGCCTGTGTGGTATTTCTTAACGGATCTATTGGGAAGCCATGCAAGCACCTGACATGTGATTAATGCTCAGATTTTTTTTTAAAGCAGATCTTTCACATCATTCTCACATTTTAAAACCCATCAGCGACTCCAATTCCCTAGGGCATGAGACGCGGTCCCCTCCCACCCGTCCATCTTTATCAGGTGCTGCTTTCCCTCTTGGTCCTTCGGTTCAAGTCTGCACACTGTTGCTCTCCTCCTGGGGAAATCTCCTCCTCTTCCCAGTCCCCCCTCCCACCTCCTCAGCCCAGCTAACTTGCTGGAAACCGTGTTCAATTGTCAACTGAACTCTTATCACCTGGCATATCATCACCTGGCGCCCACCAAGACCCAATACGTATGTGTAAAATGACTCGGTAAAACCAAGCGAACGCTTTCCCTGCTTCTGCACGCACATTCCTGCGATGCCAGACCAAAGACGCCACAACGACACCACTACAAATTCTTGGTCTCTGATTAAGCCCCCAAAGTTGGTTTTCTCATCGGCCCGGCCATTTCGAACCTCCACTCCCTCAACTCTGCCCCATCCGCCTTCCCCCAAATACAGACGTACCTGCACGGGCAGCCAACCCTTCCTATTTCTCGTCGCAGAACAGCTGGCAAGGCCAATCCCTCACCTAGGCTTTGGACCCCACCTCCTCCTGCCTCTCCCAAGGACCACCCTCAGCCAGCATCTCCCCCTCCCACCCTGCCGTATCATCATCATTCTCTCTGCCGACCCCAACTATCGGCATCAAACCCTCCTGGAAACCATCGCAGCCACACTGCTCTGCCTCCTCGCAGCCAACCACTGCCACCTGGCCTCTGACCCCGTTCAAACCACCCTCCCTCCCCCCCCCTCAGCATGACCAGTGACGTCACTCCTGAACCCTTTGTCTACTTAAGCTCATTGCAACTCGTGACCCCAGTGCCGGCTCCATCCTCCCGGAAACACTCCTCCCCTTGGAGACTAAAGGCTTCAAGTTTCCTCCGACTGTTCAGGCTGCCGTTCTTCT